CCGCAGGGTGTGAGGCAGTGCCTGGGGCTGTGGTCTCAGCCTGGCCCCTTGTGGTGGAGGACACCAGGGGACCCAGGTCAGCTCCCAGCTCCGTGAGTCTGGCAGGGAGCGGGCAGAAGGTTGGCTACCGTATGGCCAGGCCCGGCTGTTCCAGGCAGGGGAGGTGGGACAGCAGGAAACATGTGAAGTGTGTGCCTGGAGCGCCAGGTGTTGGTAAAGGAGTTGAAGTGTGGACTGCGAACCGTGAGATGCTGGTTGCTGGGCGGGGATGTGTCACTGGTTCCCAGAGAGACGTGGCTGGGCGGATCTGGGAGGGTTTCCAGGTCGGGATGGGGAGCTGGGATTTTACCCCAGAGGCAGTGGGAGCCCGAGCTAGGAAAAGCCTGGGTGGGGCCGGGGTAGGGATAGGAGGCCAGGGGAGGGTGGAGGAGTGGGGGGGAGGGGGACGTGGAGGGAGAGGTCTCCACCTCCCCTTGTCCCCCCCTCACCCCTAGATTGCAGATCTGACCCAGAAGATCCTTGACCTCCGGGGCAAGTTCAAGCGGCCCACGCTGCGGCGGGTGCGGATCTCCGCGGATGCCATGATGCAGGCGCTGCTGGGGACCAAGGCTAAGGAGTCCTTGGACCTGCGGGCCCACCTCAAGCAGGTGAAGAAGGAGGACACGGAGAAGGTGAGTGTGGCTGGGCCTGGAAAGGGGACCCAGCGGGGAGGGTGTGGGGGCAGCGGTCCCAGGGCCAGGCCTGAGGGGAAGACTTTTGGAATTTTGGGGAGAAGACTCTGGTGAGGAATCTTCAACAGGAAGTAGAGGAGGGGCACAGGAAGTGCAACAGGAAGACAGGAAGTAGAAGGGGGAGACTAGAAGTGCATTAGGAGAAGGGAAGTAGCATGGAGTCAGAATGGGAATGGGGGTTACAGGAAGTGCATGAGAGAAAAGAGAGGAAGTGCAGGAGGGAGACAGGAAGTACAGGAGGGAGACAGGAAGGATAGGAGGGAGATAGGCAGTGCAGGAGGGAGATAGGTAGTGCAGGAGGGAGACAGGAAGTGCATGAGAGAAAAGAGACAGGAAGTGCAGGAGGGAGACAGGAAGTGTGGGGGGAGACAGGAAGTGCAGGAGGGAGACAGGAAGTACAGGAGGGAGACAGGAAGTGCATGGATCAATGTGGATGGGATGTTGAGAGGCAGGGAGCTCTCCAGAACCAGACCCTTGGTCAGACGTCCAGAGTGGCCCTGCGGGCTGGAGGGCAGTAGGACGATATTTGAGAGAAGACTTTCTAACCTCTGACCCCGTTTCGGAGACAGGAAGTACAGGAGGGAGACAGGAAGTGGATGGGATGTTGAGGGGCAGGGAGCGCTCCAGACCCAGACCTTTGATCAGACGTCCAGAGTGGCCCCGCGGGCTGGAGGGCAGTCGGAGGATATTTGAGGGAAGACATTCTAACCTCTGACCCCGTTTCCCAGGAAAACCGGGAGGTGGGAGACTGGCGCAAGAATATCGATCTGCTGAGCGGCATGGAGGGCCGCAAGAAGAACCGAGGGCCACGCTCCCGGAAGCCACGGGCACATCAGGGCAGAGCTGGGTCTCCAGCAGGGGGCGCTCTGGGCTCCTCTGCCCTGGGTGGAGGGCACAGGGATGCTGAGATCCCGACACACAGAGAATGGAAGGGAGAGGGGGAAGCTGGATTCATGGGAAGAAGTGCAAAAACCGGAAACCGGAGAGAGAGAGACAGGCAGGGAGATGGAGCTGAGACAGAAATGGCTGGCAGAGGCTGTGTGTGTGTGTCTGCCACGCGGGGACCTGGGTGTGGGAGTCAGAGAACCGAGGGCCACGCTCCTGGAAGCCACAGGCACATCAGGGCAGAGCTGGGTCTCCAGCAGGGGGCGCTCTGGGCTCCTCTGCCCTGGGTGGAGGGCACGGGGATACTGAGACCTGGACACACACAGAATGCAGAACCGGAAACCAGAGAGAGGGAGACACAGGCAGGGAGACGGAACTGAGACAGAAATAAGGGCCCCCGGAGGGGTGACTGCAGGGACACAGACACCCAGAGTAGCTCAAAAAGGGGGGACAGGGACACAGAGCCAGAGAGGACAGACACGGGGTCACAGACAGACACCCGGGAGACATGGAGACACGGCACCAAGAGAGGCAGACACACAGACTCCCACGGATGCAGCGACAGGGACACACAGAGAACTTCAGCTGGTTGCTCAGTGGTTAGAGCTCTGGCCCCAGCACTGCCAGATCTTGGGTTTGATTCCTGTCCAAGGGCACCAACCTAGCTGCAACTTCCATCCCTGGCCCCAGGTTGGGGTGCGTGTGGAAGGGAAGCAATCCATGGGCCCCCGGAGGGGTGACTGCAGGGACACAGAGACCCAGAGGAGCTCAAAAGGGGGGGATAGGGACAGAGAGCCAGAGAGAGACAGACACGGGGTCACAGACAGACACCAGGGAGACCAGGAGACACGGCACCAAGAGAGGCAGACACGCAGGCTCCCACAGATGCAGTGACAGGGACACACAGAGAACTTCGCCAGTGAACTCAGTGGTTAGAGCTCTGGCCGGACCGCTGCAGGCTCTTGGGTTTGATTCCTGTCCAAGGGCACCGACCTGGCTGCAGCTTCCATCCCCGGCCCTGGGTTGGGTGCGTGCAGAAGGCAAGCAACCCATGTGTCTCTCACCAATGTTTCTCTCTCTCTCTGTTCCTCCTCCTCTCTTCCACTCTCTAAGCAAAATATCCTCAAATGAGGATTAATAAGCAAACAAACAAAAGAACTTTCGGAGGGACATTCAGAGTGAAGAACAGAGACACATGGAGAGCCCAAAACGGAGGCCCAAAGGGAAAGGCAGAGACATGCATAGAAAGCAAAATATCCTCAAATGAGGATTAATAAGCAAAGAAACAAAAGAACTCTCAGAGGGACATTCAGAGTGAAGAACAGAGACACACGGAGAGCCCAAAACAGAGGCCCAAAGGGAAAGGCGGAGA